CTGTCAGTGCGCCCCAGGGCAGCTGTGGCTACAATGTAGCTTGCCATCGCCAGTGTGTGAATGTGTGTGTGAATGGGTGAGTGACTGAATGTAGTGTAAAGCGCTTTGGGGTCCTATGGACTAGAAAAGCGCTATACAAATGCAGGCCATTTACCATTTACCAATTAATTTCCACCTACCTCTCGCAGAGGGCTCAGTGTCAGCTCGTGGACCAAACCAAATCATGAAATGTGAGGGGGAAGGAAATAAGTTGTTGTAAGTTGTTGTACCTCGTGAAGCGAACAGTTTTTATGCCGATGGATTAATTATTTAAAAAAAAAAAAGTTCTACAGCTTAGTGTCCCCGTCTTTTCTCCAAGGTTTTGATGCCAGGTAGTGTCATACATTGCTGCTAACCAAAAATACCTTCCTGATGAGTGAGTTTATCATGCCCATCTTGAAACAACTGTTGGGATTTAAATATATATTTTTAACCTCTTAAGCCCCAAGGGGGTTCCTGAGCTTCCTGCTCGAAAATGTAATGCCCAAATTTAATTGATTATTTCTCTGCAATTACAAACTCTGTCCATACAATCTTGGTATCAAAATAAAGCTAACACTTGTGAGATTTCATCAGAGGTGTAAATATTGAAGCAGATATTACTGTGTCAAAGTTACTGAGACTGGAACATAGAAAATGTATATTTTATCCTCGCCTAAATTTTATTTTTTAATTTTTAGCATATAAACCTTTTAAAAATATGCCTCAGATCACATTTGGTTCCAGGTCAAATAGTTCTGGTGGACTTTTGGTTGTTGTTTCAAAGTATAATAAAATTACTGTAGAACGGAAGTCTGGGACTTCTAAGAAGTGCACAAGCTCAGAGGTGGAGACCTCCCGCTTTTTACAGACGTGTAAAAAGACCCTCTAGGAGGATTACTCCAGGTAGCACCTGCCAAGACTTGGGGCCTTGGTTTAAAATAGCCAGTGATTGGATCACTTTGCTGTTTAGAACGGTATCTGCACTTTTTTGGGCAGCAGAGGTTGGACCTCGGGCATTGGACGCTTTTAAAAATTCAAATAGGGTGTTTAGAAATTGGGCCAGGCACACTTTGGAACTGATACTGGTTAATTGATCACAAAAAGGTTGGACCTAGCGTTGGACGCTTGTTAAATTTGTCAAAATTGGTTTGGTTCTTGTGTTGAGTATGTCAGGGATCCGTATGTTTGTTGTAAAATTATAAGATGTCTTTGTAATATAAAATAAGTATTTTTGGCATTTCAAAGAACTTTGCAATTTAACAGTGATTTAAAGGCTGATAGAATGCTGAGAGTGTGTTGAAATGAAAGTGTGCATGTTGTGAAATCCTTTAATCTTTGGTGATTCTATAAATATATTGTTGTGAACATCGCTGAACCTGCTGGTGTGTAATGTGAAAATTTATTAGAGGTTTTAATTGTTTTTCTTTCAGTTTGAGGTCATATATGCACTTAACAGGGTGCGGTCTACTTCCTCTTTCTGATTCTAAACAGCAGGTTTGACGAAAATAGTCTATCACAAGCATGTTTTGGGTGATTCTAAGTGTGTGAACGTTGTGGGTACTGGATTTGAGTGATTCTGTGTGATTTGTAGAAAATAATAAATAAGTAATAATAACACTACGTGGGTTCATAGCAGAGTGGGTGAACAGAGGAAGTCTGAGAGAAAAGTGTGTGTGTGGGACGACGAAGTTCAGGGAAGCCTGTAAAATGCTGATGAAAGTATTGTGTGAAGGATGCTAAAAACTGAGCTAAAGAATGGTGATATGTGTGGGAAAAAACAAACTGATAATTGTCTTGAGGTCTGAAAGAGCTCTGCTAAGCATGCTGAAGATTTTGATGTGAATGCTTGCAAAGGCAAAAAGCTTAGTTTATTTAAGTGTGTGTGCGTGTAATAAGAGTGCATTATTTTTATATCAACATTTAGCAGAATTACAGAGGGTTTATAGACTGTAAATACAAAAAAAGAGTTCGATTAGGCTGTAGAAACAGCAAGGGCGTAGATTTGGCATGGACGGAAGGGACATGTCCCCACCAATATCCAGCGATTATTGAATTGTCCCCACCAATAATTTGATCTCTTCGAGTAAAGAAAAACAAA